GGGGGGGGCTGAGAGAGCTCTTTCAAGAACTGCCCTTGAGAGAACAGCTCTGAGAGAATTTATGACTGACCCAAGGTCACACCAGCCGCTGCATGTGGAAGAGTGGGGAATCACACCTGGTTCTCCCCTCCTAACCACTGCACCAAACTGGCTGTCTTAAAGTACTGCAGATCCAGTTCTGTTACTGCTACTCAGAACAGCCAGTACTGAGTTGATGGTTTAGCTTCCTTGCATCCTATAACTCACTAGGGGATTATTAGATTTTTCTGTTTTTGTAATTACCAGGTTCAGAAATCTGCAAACTGTTTGCTATCTGGCTGGTTAGTGTAGACTCTAGTAACATAAAGTTCTTGGACTTCCATTAAAATGGGATACCTTATGCCACAAGACTATTGCTAAATGAGAGCGGTCTGTATCCTACAACTCCAGTAAGCAGCAGTTGGAGCTTCCTCCAGCGTCAGTGGCTGTCCCTCCAGTGAAAGGTGTCCTTCCTTTAATGGAAGAGCCACTTAAGTTGAAAAAGGGAGTCTTTGGTTGGAGGAACTTCCCGTGGCCTGTGGTTGGATGTCCATCAGTATTTACATAGACCTTGAGGAATTGCAGGATATTTCCTGTGGATAAAATTCTGTCACATTGAAATCGCCCATACGCTTCAAGATCAAGCTAAAATGAGGGGGGGAAGTTTAAAAGCTTAATTAGCCAACAGCTTTATACTGCTTCTCAAAACTAACAATAAAACTGTCTTTGCTTTTAATAGAGTTCGATTGAACTGCAAATACAGCTGTATAACTTTCTAAACCGTTTCTTGATGTATTGGTGAAATTACATTCATGGATTCTTTCACATTTAACAGCTTTTTGCCAGCATTTGTATCATCTTAGGATCTTTGACTTGGTCTCTGTGCTTCACACCCATGGGATCTAGTGCGCACGCGCTGGATCGATCGGCATTGTAGCAAGCTCTTAACGGATTTTCGCGCCCAGACCTAGGGCATGCGCAGGAACACATGCCCAGAGGGGTGGGTGCAGACATCCCGCCAGTTCCTTTCTTACTGCCGCGTTGGAAAGACCTTTTTTTCGTCGGTCTGATTGGTTCTTCTTTGGCTATTTGCCTTACGGCTCTTCAGATGTTTTCTTCTTTTTTCTTGGTCTTTCTTCGTTCTTTAAAAAAATTTAAAAAATTGTTTTTCTGTTGAGGGGGAAGTTGCCGGTTTACCTCAGTTCTCCCTCTGAGGTGGAGAACATCTCCATGGGTTATTCCCAAGTAGTTTTTTCCCCCTTCCTGTTGGCGCCCTCGGAATAGCCCATCCTCAGTTCTATTCCTGCCTCACTAGTGAGCAGCAGCAGGTACCTGCCATTGAGCAGGTACCACCACACCTCCACGGGACGGGATTTTATTCCTGATACTTCACAGTCCCGAAGAGAGATGGAGGCATTCGACCCATTTTAGATCTAAGGGCACTGAACTGCTTTGTAACCTACCATCGCTTCCGCATGGTGTCCTTACAGCAGATTATGCCACTCCTATGGAAACACGTCTGGTTGGCCACCCTTGACCTCCAAGACGCGTACTTCCACCACACCATTCACCCCTCCCACTGCCAATACCTACGCTTCGCAATTGGTCAACAACATTACCAATATACAGCCCTGCCATCTGGCCTTTCAAGCACCCCAAGAGTCTTCACAAAGACTATAATTGTGGTTGCGGCTTTCCTCCATCTCAGGGGTATTTCTATTTACCCGTACATCGACGATTGGCTCTTGGTAGCATCCTCCAAGGACGCCCTGGTCTCAAACATCAATGAGACACTGGCACTCCTGGAAAACCTGGCCCTACAAGTCAATCGGGAAAAGTCTCAACTTCAACCGGTTCAGAAAATACAGTACATCGGTGCCCTACTAGATTCCAACAATTGCATGGCTCAGCTGCCACAAGACGGAGCGGCAGACATCATTTACCTAGCCAGCCTTCAGTCACAGCTTTCCAAATACAGAGGCTACTCCGCCTTATGGCCGCAACTACGTCGGTCCTGGTCTTTGCCAGATTAAAAATGTGTCGCCTATAACTGTGGTTTATTCACAAGTTCGACCCAACGGAAAATGCACATACCACCGTCCTAACCCCTCCTCCCAACATACGAGACTCTTTACTTTGGTGGACTGTCCCTTCCAATCTCTTCCAGGGAGCACCCTTCCATCATCCATCACCCCAAATCACCCACAGACACCTCTCTGTTGGGCTGGGGTGCCCACATGATGGGTCTTTGTGTTGGAGGCAAGTGGAATACTCACGAACAAAAACGGCACATAAACTTCCTGGAACTGCTTGCAATACAGTTCGCTGTCACGAGTTTCCTACCTCTGATCTAGGGGAAATGTGTTATGGTCCTCATGGACAACACTACTGCACTCAGTTATGTCAACAAGCAAGGAGGCACCTCCGTAGGCCTCAAGAAAGTTTTCCAATTCCTTCTGCCTCTCGCTGACTCGGGACTTTCTCACTCCTCGTTAAGGGTTTATTTGGCCGCACTTTCGGCCTACCATGTTTATATCTTCGATTTCTTCGATTTCTACCCCGCTCCAACCCCGAAGGGTCCATGTTCAAGTTGATGGATGCACTCTGTTTTCGCATCCGCTTTCAAAACGTTTTTTTGAAGGGACTGTTGCACCTCTACCCTCCCATCAAAACTCCTGTTGTTCCCTGGGACCTTCCTCTAGTTCTTCGTCAGCTCACAAGGAAACCTTTCGAGCCGCTCGCAACTTGGGACCTAAAATTCCTGTCGTGGAAGATGGCCTTTCTGGTTGCTGTCACCTCGGCGAGGCGAGTTGGAGACATACTGGCTTTCAGACATGACACACCTTACTTGTCCTTTTTGCCAGATGGTGTCTGCCTGTAGGTGGAATTCTGATACTACCAAAGGTAGTATCAGAATTCCACCTACAGGCAGAGGTCTTCCTCCCAGATTTCTTCCCGGCTCCGACATCCTCAGAGAACAGACTGTTACACACCTTAGATGTGAA